ATGATTTTAATCTTTATTATAAAAAATTATTATAGAAAACAAATTGGAAGTTTTTTACTGACATCTGTTTGTCAGTAAATGAAGCCCTTACAATATTTTTAATAATCAGTTTATTCCCACTTGAATAAGTGATCAGTGCAAAGCTGAAAACAACTACAAATTTTATTATTAAACCTGATAGAACCATGGCCACAAGGAACATAAGTGAAAGTAGGGGCAAACGTTAAACTCTCTTAGCTGCCGGATCTTTAAACTGAACAAAGAATGCAAAGTAAACAGAAATAAAAAATTATCAACTCATGGCCATAGCTATAAAAAACCTTTAGCTTCTGATAATTCTGACCTCAAATTAACTTTTATAAATTATCAGCAGACCAATTTATTTTAATACATTTCTAAATATCTTAACAACAACCTAAATTGTTAAATATTTTATGTGCAGCAGTGTCTTTCGTTTTTTTTTTTTTACTTACGTGGTCAAAATGCCCACACTGCCAAGTGTTTTCGGGTAACGGCGTAGAGTAGTTGTTAAATTATTCATCGAACACTTGCTGAGTAATTAACTCAAGGGAACAAAAAGTTAAATGATTTTTCACAAGAATACACTGTTTTTTTCTTTGCTTTTTTTAATAATCTGTTTGTAAAACAATTTTATTTCTTGAAAATTCCTTTGTTAAGTAATGTTACAAGATTTTTTCTATGGCCACTGCCAAGAAATCGACACAAGTTTTTCTATTACTCTAGTATGCACTTAATTTTTTCACTTTTATTCAATTTAAAAAATACAATTACAATTTTCACCAAGAAAAATTGTTTGGAGAAAAAAAATGTTTGCTTTTATTTTATTGAAATTTGTTATTACACTTTTTCAATTTTTGTTTATTTTTAACGGGTATATAAAATAAAATTAATTGCTTTTTATTAAAAAATAGTTTATTTTAGTTTTTTATTTAGAGCTTTTTTATTTTTCACTGAACTTATCACTTCGCTTTTTATTTGTTGAATGGTAATTTTATTCAACGAGTTTTTGTTCATATACTCTGGGGGCTAGTACATAGTTTGTTTTGTTTTTCTACATTTTGTTTTTGTTATTGCTTATTGTTGTTGTTTATCAACAACTATGTTTTTGTTTTGCAGTGATATTTTGAAAAACAACTAAACTTTTTAAGAGGAGGAAGGTGGGGCCCAAACTATCAATTTTATCTTACGAGTTGTGACGTCATTATGACAACTACCTAAAAGCAGAATAACAAGTAAAAACGGAATGGGTGATAACAATAAAAACAATAATAAGTGTTGTCAATGCAGTTTAAAAAAATAAACAAAAATTAAAATCTATTTGATTAAAGAACTTTAGAAATTTATATTTTTTTTATTTATTTCCAATGTTTATTAATAATTTAGCTATATAAAAGTTTTTAAGGAATGGGCAAGTCAAAATTTAATAAAATTTAATATTTCTTCATTCATTCCTTTTAACATTTGCCCACAGTTTGACAGCTGTTATAATAGCAACCCTGTTATTTAATTGTTAATACATTTTATGTCAATACTTTTTGGTGAGTGGCACCATAACAAAAAAATCTTTACGTCGTAATTTTAATTTTTTTAACGAAAAATTACATGAAAATTTAATAATAGTAATAAAAAATAAACAATTCCAACTTAAAATCTTGTAACCAACCTATCTGAACAAATACCAAGAATTTATGATAAGCAAACCAATAAAAAAATAATTAAATCTAAAGCCAATTGTGTGATTAGTCATTAAAATTTGCAAAAAAAAAAGTCAACAAAGGGAGGGTGGATGTATTCTGGACAACCTTGTACTAAACACCTAAAAATATAGCACTTAAAAATGCCAACAACAGAGCAGGAGGAAGAGCCCTCACTTAACACCGAACAAACTGGAGCACATAATAAACAAACATCGGTGGAATGTGTCGCCTCTGAGGAATATTCTGCTTTGCCCGAAACATTTTATTCCTTGCCCATTGAAAGTGTTGTCTCGGAAGTCGGTTCGATTTTCCATCAAAGAAAATATGATATTTTTGAACGCTTAAAAAAGTCTATAGAACAGTGTGCTAAACGTTTTAATGGACGTAAGGAACTGGCCAGTGAAACAGATGAAACTGTAGCCGAATTATGTGAGGCACTCGAAGAATCTTTCCAATATGGCCTAAAGCCGCAACAACCAACTCAACTTAATTTTGTGGTTTCAGCGGCAAATCTTTTTCAAAATATGCAAGAAATTGTTACCAGATCTTCCTCCAATCGCCCCGCCAATACTTTAACGGCTACAACAGAATCAAATTTTTGGGATTTTTGTCAGAATTTTCTTACGGCCCATGAAAAAGAGCGTTTTGAAAATTTAAAACAAGTATGGACCAAAGCGGGTAAAGGCCGGGCCTTTATACGGGCTGCTCTAAATGAACATTCTCTACAGAGGTACTTACTTACCTGGTTATCGGAGTATCAAATACTAATGTCTTACTATACACACTGGTCAGTATTGTTGGATGATAAAATGACCAAATCATTGCCGGAGCTGATTAAAACTTTAGATCCTGTTTTATTTGCTTTGTCGGTAGATAAGACTGAACTAAATGTAGCTGTTAAGACCAGCAGTGTTCAACAGAGTGTAGCCAAAGAAGAACCTCTTATATATGCTCCTACACCGGTTAAAGTTGAAAATAAAATCAAGCGTAAATCCAATGCAGTAGAGCGTCCCATAGCCTGCACCAGTTCTACGGATGATTTGTTAAAGCAACTACAAGCTAACACCCATAATACTGAAACATCTTCCACTACGATTACTTCCCAACAGTTGTGTAACGCACTAGAAGAGTTGCCCTCTACCTTTGATGATACTCCCCCCGATCCTATAGAACCAGAATTGGAATTTCTTAAAGAACCTCTAAACTTTCCCCCAGTTCCGCCACATAGTGACTTTGGTACCGGTAATGGTTCCATATCATCGGCCAATTCCTATCATGATCTAGACGGTGATACCTCCTCTCAGTCTAGTAAATATTCATCGAACAATGCCTGCAACAATCCGCAACATGTTCAATTAGAGGAACAATTAAAAGATATTAATGAACGTTGTTCTCTGCTGGAAACTAGAGTGGCTCAACTGAGCTTAGAAAATCGTCAACTAATACGAAGACTTAAAAAGCACTTTGAGGATTCTGGCATTGATCCTTCCTCTTCATTTGCCACTAATTTTCTTATCACCATTCCACACACTAAACTCCACAAGTCCAAACCGGCCACAGGTTCTTTCCATCTCTATGAAATTCACATAACCATGAGACAAAATCTAGAACATTGGTCTATATGGCGGCGTTATAGTGATTTTAATAAACTCCACAAGTCGTTGTTGAAAACACATCCCAGTGTGTCTTCTGTGGAATTTCCACCCAAAAAACGTTTTGGCAATATGAACTTAAAATTCGTCGAGGAAAGACGACAACAATTACAAATTTATTTACTGAACTTGGTAGAGACATTGCCACAGGTGGAGGCTTGTAAAACTAAAGCTGAGCTGCAGAAAGTATTTCCATTTTTAAGAGAACGGTAACATTTGTTTACGGTATTCGGTGGACGCTAGATGTAAAAAGAAATGCTCTATTTATTTTTTTTATGAAAACTTAAAGGAAGGAATAGTTTATTTGTTTTTATTAGTTAAATTGTATTATTATTATTATTATTTTCTTTAAATAATTATATTGAATTTTAATTATGTGTTAAGGGTGTAATAGATAAAGTATGTTTAAAAACATAAATTTTGTTCTTAAAAAATAAAATATACTTTGTTAAAAATATTTGTTGGTGGAAACTGAAATTGAACTTTTATTTAATTACTAGAGGATGCAGTTTGCAATTTTCTCAAAAAATACATTATTTCGCTAATTTTCCCCAAAAATTTGAATTTATCAGTAAAAAATTTAAATTTCGCAAAAAAAACAAGTAAGAAAGTATAGTCGGGCGTGGCCGACCATATGATACCCTACACCAGCTATGAATATTAAATGTGATTTATTTTTCATAATAAAGCATTTATCTTCAATATTCCCTTGTTCCGATACATTTAAGCAATTTATGGATGAAAAACTAATTTTCTGAAAGAGGCTTTATATGGGGGCTAGGGGCAAATATGGACCAAGCCCGATAACATTTGGTGAATATATTTATATTTACATAATATTTTATTGTGCTGAATTTCTTCGCGATATTTGTGTTTATAAGTTAATTTGGGACATTCAAGTAATTTTCTGAAGGGGACTTTGTATGGGAGCTAGGGTCAAATGGGGCCCGATCTTTATGAAATTTGGCAGGGTCATTAAGACTTCTATAAAACTTAGTTGTGCCGTATTTTATCGATATATCTGTATATTTAACATAATTATGAGCTCAGAAGCCCTTTTCGGGGGGTTCTGATCTATGGGGGCTAGGTGAAATAATGGACCGATTTTAACCATTTTCAATAGGTTTCGTCCTTGGGTCAAATAAAACGTGCGTGCCAAATTTCATCCAATTAAATTGCGACCTGTAGCTTGCGCACAAGGTTTACATGGACAGCCAGCCAGCCAGACGGACGGACGGACATAGCTTAATCGACTCAGAAAACGATTCTAAGCCGATTGGTATACTTTAAGGTGGGTCTAGGACGAATATTTTTGTATGTTACAAACATCAGCACAAATCCAATATACCCTCCCCACTAAAGTGGTGTAGGGTATAAATACATTTTTACTAAATATTTGAAAATTTCATTATAACTACATTTTCGAATAGATCTATGTCGACATACATATGTACTTTGCCACATTAATATGATTTAAAAAACAACTCTGTAAATTACAAAACTCTGCTGTAAATTTGCCTCCCTCCAGTTTTAAGACGGCTTAATATATTTGTGTTGTTCTCTCAAAACAACCGTTAATTCAGCTAGAACAGTTAGATATTATAAAAACACAAGATGACTTTAACTTAATGGTTACAGCATCATTTGTATTCTAAAATTCAACCTAAATACTAGCAACTTAACAACAAGCTCGCAATAATTTTAAAAAAATATATATATTTTTTTTAATTAAAAAAAAAAGAACAAATCACAAAATATATTCAACATGGTTTCCACACTCAAAAGTGCTGGTGATTTCGAGAAACAAATTGCTGGTGCCGGTGATAAGCTGGTGGTTTTGGATTTTTATGCCACCTGGTGTGGTCCCTGTAAAGAAATGGAGCCTCATATACGCAAGCTGGTGAAACACTATAAGGATCGTGCCATTGTCATTAAGATTAATGTCGACAAATTTCAAGATATCTGTGATTATTATAAAGTACGTAGTATGCCGACATTTGTTTTTATTAAAAATCAAAGGCGTGTTTCGAGTTTTGCGGGAGCTGATGCTAAATTGCTAACACAAAAAATGGCTTCGTTGGTTAAATGATTTATTTACATATTTTTTTTGACTTTACGCAAGAGATTTATTTTTTTTATAATTAATTATGGACATCTGTGATGTTAAATTTTATTTTAATTGTATTTTGTGTTTTATTTAAATGTAGTTTTTGTGAATTGTGTTTGTTTCAACTAACGTTAATATTTGTTCTAATAAAATTACAAAAATATATATGATTTAAATTAATTGGTTTTATTAAAAAATTTTGTTAACATTATTTTTAAAGATTTGGTTACTAAATCTACCAGTTTCTTACATTTTATTAAAATTTGAGTTTGAATCAAATTAAATTTCCCGTTTTTGCCCCTTTTAGTACTTTTGTCACCCTAATTAAGTAATTAACATTTTATTCCAAAAATTGCAATATCGTAGTGGGAGCCCATCATTAAGTACCCAGCAGTTCGACAAAGAGTCAATGCATCCGAAAAACACAGTTGGCTCTAATTCGTCTTTCGTCACGGATGTACTCTTTGTAAACGAGGGTGAAGATAACTGTCACTTTAGTGTCCCCTTTGTAAGCGATAGAGTGCCACTTAAAAAACAAACTTAAACTTTTTGTCATCTCTTCTTAATCTATGGGGTGACGATTGACTTCGTCGTAGGATAAGCACATGTTAGAACAGCTAGTCACCTGGGCAGTCGGTGGCTAGGGGTAACCCTAAGGTAGTTCATTCATATGTACAAGTCAATATGTAGGAAACAATGTTTCATGCAAAAAGTACCAAAAATAGGTACAATTTTCATCCCCATAAACGTCTGAATATCGAAAAGGTACTAAAATTGTAATTATACCCTACACCACTTTAGTGGGGAGGGTATATTGGGTTTGTGCTGATGTTTGTAACGCACAATAATATTGGTCCTATACCCACCTTAAAGTATACCAATCGGCTCAGAATCATTTTCTGAGTCGATTTAGCTATGTCCGTCCGTCCAATTTTGAAGATAATTCAATGAAATTTGGTACATGATCTTCTATTGCCCCAGGGCAAAGCCTATTGAAAATGGTTAAGATCGGTCCATTATTTCACCTAGCCGCCATACAACTGAACCCCCCAATAGGGCTTGTAATCCTTGTAATCAAACTACAGCTCGCAATTTTGGAGATAATTCAATGAAATTTGGCACATGATCTTTTATGGTATCGTAGATGAAGCCTGTTGAAAATGGTTTACATCGGTCCATTATTTCACCTAGCCCCCATACAACTGAACCCCCGAATAGGGCTTTTAAAACTTGAAATCAAACTACAGGTCGCAATTTTTGAGATAATTCAATGAAATTTTGCACATGATCTTTTATGGTACCGTAGACGAAGCCTATTGAAAATGGTTACCATCGGTCCATTATTTCACCTAGCCCCCATACAACTGAACCCCGAATAGGGCTTTTAAAACTTGAAATCAAACTACAGGTCGCAATTTTGGAGATAATTCAATGAAATTTGGCACATGATCTTTTATGGTACCGTAGATGAAGCCTGTTGAAAATGGTTTACATCGGTCCATTATTTCACCTAGCCCCCATACAACTGAACCCGCCGAATAGGGCTTTTAAGTTCATAATTATGTTTAATATACTCATATCTCGACAAAAAGCTGCAATAACCAAGTTGTATACAAGACTTGATGACCCCCACGAATTCCATAATAATAGGTTCTCATATGACCCTAGCCCCTATGAAAAGCCCCCATCAAAATTTCACTTAAATGTCCACAATTTTATTCAACAATAAACGGCTTAAGTATGTATATCTAAGGCAAGGTGCAATTCAACTTAAATGCTTTATTATGGCATCTAAATCACATTATATATTTGTCAAAGGTGTAGGGTACTATATGGTCGGCCTCGCCCGACTATAATTTCTTACTTGTTTTATTTTTACGTTATGTTATAAAGGAGTCAAAAATATTTTTTGTATGTTCACTGGGGTGTAAAAAAAAGTACCAAAAATAGTTTTTACAAGTTTATTCCCAATATGGACCCAATTTGAAAGTGGTACCTGACACCTGTCCACTTATTTTTTAAACGAACGACGATAATTTTAAACAGTTTTTGTCTCTTATCTAGTTTTTTATGAGGTTACCGAACATTTGAACATGGATGACATTTGAATTTGGAGTCAATAACGTTAGAGTTTTATATAAATATGTACTATGTATATAGGTAACGAAATGTATTTTCGATAAGAAAGCGTAATTCACCGTCTGATCTTAAAAGTAAATTTGGGTAATTTGAGTATACTGATCGTAGGCATCAAAAAGTGAGCGCGATATGACAGTTCATACTGTCATGGATAATTACCTGTTTCTTCATAATTAGACTTTCATTAAAACACAATTGTCATATGGTTTACTATAACTATGCATATGTGTGTGTATACAACAATTTATTGAAAATTATTAATATATATTTTTTTAATATTTAAAAGAAAAAAAACGCATATTTCTTACAAAATCTAAAATAAAAGAATACCAAAGAGATTGCCCAAAATGTTTGATAAAACACTAAATAAAATTGACAAAAAAAAAGAATAAAAGAATTTCAGAAGGAAAAATATCATAATTAAAGCTAAATATTTACACAATAAAATTTTCTTAATTTTAGCAACTGAATTTATTAATAATAAGAAAACATTACTTTAAGTTTAAGTTTAAAATTAATTAATAATTAAACAAACTAAACGAAAACATTAAAGTATAGTTTAGAGTAAATAGCTAAAGAAAATTATTTTAAGTATAAAGTAAATTGTTGTTTAGATTGTAGTTTTCTTTGTAATAAATTGTTTAGATTTGTAATTTTTCAAATGTTTCTTATTAAGTGAAACTTTAGGTTATTAGGCCTTTTTTTCTAATTAAATCCTGTGTAGCTGGGTTTTATGTTTATATAGTTTTTTTTTTTTTTTTAGAAAAATATAATATTATTATGTATGTTTTATGTTTAGGTATGTTTTAAGGTAGGCTGGCTTTTTGTTTGTTGTTTTTACTCTTGTTTGTATTCAACTGCTATTAGTTTTTTAAATCTAAAATTACATAGTACTATTTACTATTTGAAAATAAATTAGTTTTGTAATAATATATTTTAGTTTTATTATAATTACATAGTTTTATTTATTTATATAGTTTACTAGAAATTTTAATTATTTTTTTATTTTTCTTTAATTAATTAAATTTTAAATATCTTACTTCTTTGTTTGTGTGTATAAAATGTTTAAGTGTGCGCTGTGTTTTGTTTATATATTTAAAGATTACTTTTTGTTTGATATTAAATTGATGAAAGACAAAACAAAAATGAACAAAAAGCTTTCTAAATGTAGCAAACGCACAAATTATTTATTAAAATTCTTTGCTTTTTCAAACAGAATTTCTTATTGCTTCAAGCCTTAAAAATATAATAACAAAAATACTTTAGATTTTATTAGTTATTTTTCTTACATTAGTTTATATTTTATTAAAAAAAAAAAAAGAAAAATTAAAAAAATGCTTTAAGTTTTATATAAAAACTACATTTGTTATTTTAAGCTTTTTGTGGGTTAATTAAAAATTTATTTGTATAGATTTGTTTTAAATGGTTTTATTTTCTTTTTGTTTGATATAATATAATAATTAAATGCTTTAAATAAACAAAAATAATAAGCGATTTTAAATAACTATTTACATGGTATAACTCTAAGGGGGCTATAGGGTTTATATTCCATTCAACAGCATTATCTTTTTTTCTTTTAAATTCCACAATTAATTCATTTGAAATTAACAACAATAGAGGAATTTTTAGCTGCTTAGTACTGTTTTATCCAAAGAATGAAATATATAATTCTTAAAAACTATTTAAAATGTAATAAAACTAAAACAAATTTACACATAATTACAAAAGTATTGAAGTTGAACATTAAATTAAATTGTTATTATTATAACTTTTTATTTTAATTAAAGTTTTGCGAAAGAAACAAAGATAATAAATGTTTCATATTTTCACAATCTTCAGTTTGCTAAACCTCTATAAAAGCTTTCTTATATGAAAGCTTTCCTTTATAAAAGCTTTTTTATAAAGAGTTCATTTACTAATGATTCCTTTTATAAAAGCACGATTCTTTTTATAAAGCTTTAAAGTTTTATAAAATATTATTTTACTTTTATAAAAGCTTTATTTTAATATGAAACGATATTATAAAAGTTCTCTTTTATAACAGTTTTCTTTTATAAAAATTACCTTTAAGCAGTTAACTTTAACTAAAGCATTTTTTTAAGTTTTAATTTATAAAAGCTTTAACTTTCATTTTATAAAAACATTCTCTAATTAAAGTTTCTTTTAAAGAAATCTCTTTTATAAAAGTGTTTCTTCAAAAAGCTTTCCTTAACAAAAAGTTTTCTTTCTTTTATAAAAGCTTACATTTAAAAAGCTTTTTCATTTCAAAAAAAAAAAAAAACATAATTCAAACGAATATATTCCTGCAAAAATTATAAAACTCCATAATTCAATTCAATTAAATTTAGTATAAATCTAATAAAAAAAAGCTCAATAATTTTCTCATCAAAATTTCCACTTCAAACGAAATAAAGTAATTTTTAAATAAATCTTCCTTGTTAAATAATTATCCTTAATCATAAATTTAAAATTATTACAAAAACATAAAAAAATAACTAAATAAAACTTACACTAGATAGAAAAAATGGTGTGTTTATGAAGATTCTAAACTGATGTTTGGGGAAGTTGTAGTTTGTTGTTCTGCAGAATCTCGCCGCTTTTTGTAAGGAGGAGGACTATTACTGCCCGTAGTAAACTCATTAGCCTCAGTTGGAGCAGAAGAATCAAATGACGCTGGCTCAGCATGTGTCTCATTTGAATGACGTTTTCTGTGGGTTTGTATTGGTTGTGGTGGCGGCGTTTGAGGTTGTGCTTTAGTTTGAGGAAGGCAGGAGTTTAATGACACACTATTAGTAAAACTATTACTGGTTTGTTGTGTGTTGGTCGTGGTATTGGAAATTGCGTTAACCATTTCATTTTCCACCGAAGGTGTCATTAAGGGTGACAAGGGGGCATGATTTGTATCCTCATCTTCATTGTGGGGCAGATTGTCATCATATTCATCTAAATTGTCTTCATCTTCCTCTTCTGAGTCTGAGCACCAAGAAACTTGGGCCCCCGGAAATACATATGATGCTGTATTATCGTGTACATAATAGGTTCCCTTGTATAAGCGTTCAGCGGCGCTTTGATGTTTCATTTGCCTTCTAATACTTTGTTTCTCGGCTTCAGAACAATTTGTATCGGCTGTTTTGGTATTGTGTAAATTATCCACCACGGGCTTGTTGTTTATAGCTTGTGTTGTAGAGGCGGGCATGTTAAGGTTGTTGCTGTTCTTGTTCATTTCTGCCGTATCCACCAAATTAGAAAAAGTGGGTGTTAGGGCTGAATTAGAAGCATCGCCCAATATACCACTATCTTTCGACGAGTCAATGGATAAATGACGATAGTCGCAAGAGCCACCAAAACTAGTTGATTCCATGGGTTCATCCATATATTCTGGAGAAAGAAATTCTCCTTCTTTTTTAGAGCAGGTGGATGAAGTCTCAAAACCCGAATCGGAATAAGTAGTTGTGGTTGGGGTAGCAGCAGTTTGATTTGATTTCATGGAGAGTGTATCCATAACATCCGCAGAAACCTCTTTTGCTGTATCTTCATCTAATTCCAAATCATCTTCTAGGGGTATCAAATCTTTGGATTCTTTTAATACTTCCTCACTAAAGCAAATATCTTTCCAATCATCACCCAAACGATGACAAATTTGATTGATGATAACATCACCATCACCCAGCAATTCAACATCAAATTCGAGATGATGTAACTGTTCGCGATTGATAAGTATCTGTGGTACATGATTTGGTATAGAACTGGGTATTAAAGCCACGGGACGCACCTTTAAAGACGAACCCATGACTATAAGCAAATCGCATTTATCCTTATCACTGGCCATAACTGTATGGAACTCATCGGGTAGACCTAATTAACAAATAGCAAATTCAAGTACATATTAACCTAGAAATTAAGTTTTATTTGTATTCTACACCTACCTTCGCCAAAGAAAACAATATCTGGTTTCATTATGCCATTCTCCACCAACTGCCTCAAATTATTCTCCGACACCGGCTCTGAGGCATCCAAACTCTGCTCTACATTGGGTTGACATCGCGGGCACACCGGTATACGTTGGGCAAAGATATCACTGCGTATACTGTCAGCATCGCATTTGTACTTGCATTTAGTACATGAGGCCGTCGAGAAGGAACCATGACATTCAATAACATTTTTAATACCAGCAACCTGTTCCAAAGTGTCTATGTTTTGTGTGTAGTTCCGCAACAACTTTTGCTTTTGTTCCAACATTTTTATAAAACGGTGGCAGGGAGAGGGCTTAAATTGTCCCGGATAGATTTCACGGGCAAACTTATAGAAAGGACGGGGATCACGCGAGAAATAGTTAATGTCAAACATGGCCTGGGGATCGGGCAAATCAGGGAAATCTTTAGCTAAACGTGAGTAAATGCCATCCGAAGATCTGAAATCGGGAATGCCACACGATACTGAAACGCCAGCACCAGTGAGTACCATAATGTTTTTGGATTTGTTTAAAAGATCAATGACATCCTCGAAAGTGTTGACATATGAAAGTTTCTTCCTCCGGGGCGGTTCTGATAGCATGCTTGCTAATATACGCCACAAAGTCATATCGGTTAGTTCCGGACTAATGCGTTGAGCCGAAGAAGGTAGAAATTTTGAGAGTATTTCTCTGGGATTGGCTCCTGAATGTATTTGTTTCTGCACCCAATTTAGGGGACGTTGATTAATGGGCTTCCATTCACGACCCGACATATCGGAGAGGCCACTTAGGTCCGAGAAATCGGAGTCTGAAGTCGAGTCATCTGTATCCGGATTGTCTTCATCATCATCTTCATGTTCTTTAGACGACTGCCGGAATTGGGACGAGTCCTGTGTTAATTGGGAATTGTCATTGTTATCTGTTTGATAGCTTTGTTCTTCTTCCTCATCATCTTCGCCTTCTTCCTCCTCGCTATCCACAATACTTTTGAAGGGATCCTCAGGATCATCAGTTACACTTACTGGTGTGTCCGCGATTAGAGATGCTTCCAAATCTGCATCAGCAGTTGGCGGTAATGTTAATGTTTTGATTATTTCATTATTTGTTTTGACCACTTCTTCGCCACAACTACTACTATTGGCATTTGTTGTTGCTGTTGTTGTAGATGCCATTGACGACGACGAAGTCGACATTGTTTTTGTGTTCAAAATATTGGCGCCAAAATTAAAATTTTGTTTGTTGTTTACAGCAAATTCCTCCACGGAATTAAAGAATTCATTTCTCTCCTGCAATTTTATGGGTAGCACATCATCTAATTGTTCTAATCTATCTGAATTTAATCTAGCCTGTTCATAATTTTCCATCATTTTCCAGAAAACCTCTGAATACACTACAAGACCAAGTCCCAAAAATCAAAACAATACAAAAAAATACGAAGATTTGCCGTCTTTATCGTACAATTCTACGACCTTCTCTTTCTCGCCCTAGTAATTTTCGTGTTTTATGACTTTCTACACAAATTCGTTTGGTGGTACACACACAAAAAATTTTTTCGCTCGCCTCGGCTGATGTAAAAAAATTCCACTAACTTTAAGCACACAATAAACGGTTTTTGTCCATTAATTTTTAATAATTTATGGCAAATATATTGAAAAAATTAATTTTAAATAATATTTTTTGCACTTTTACGTAGTTTTTTTGGTAAAATTTTCACAAAAATTTTAAACAAATTCTGTGTGTGTCTATTCACAAGCATTTGTGTGACGTTAATGAAAAAAAGATGGCCGTCGTCGTCCCCATACAACGTAGTTGTTTAATTTAGTAGTAGTCGTCTGGTTAATGACTAATACATTTTTTGTGCGATTAGCTATTACACAACCAATTTAAACGACACTTAATATTTTATTTGAGGATTTTTCTTTTGTTTATTAGTTAAATTATTATTTTACTTTACTTATTTAATGGAAATTATTTTAAAAAATATTTAATTCAGCTGGTATACTTGATTTTATGAAATGCAGCTCTGTTATGTGTTGTGACGTGATCTAGGCGTATGATAAAAATGGCTGACCGTTTAGAATAGAGTTGCCAATTCGAAAATTAATTGAAGGAATATTTGTGGCAATATTGAAGAGTTTTGCGTATTTTTATTTTTATAATATTAATTATGATATTTTCTTTGATTTATAATTAAAAATTGTTTTCTGTTTAGTTGATTTCGCTTTTTATTTTGTTATAAATTAAAATATTTTTGAAAATGTTTATGTTGTGAAGAGTTTTGATTATTTATTATTGGTAAACATAGGAAATCCCTTATGCGGGTTGAATTAAGAAGATATGGCAATAATGTTTATAAGACAAAATATCCTGCCAGAACAGGATATAGCAATATAGGGCTTCTTTTATAGGATTACTTTATAAAATATCTAACTACATCATTTATTAAATATGTATTTAGTAATAATCTGTTAATATATCGAGCGATGATATAAACAGAATAATAAGTTATTAAGAAAATTAATTTTCTAATAATTCGATCGAATATGAGTATTTTCCCAAACCATGTTCATTCATAATATTAAAGTTCATAAAAAGTATGAATTTTCTATTAATCAATTTCCATAGAACGTAACGTACAGAAATATTATAACGTATAGAAATATTGATCATAATGAATCATCCATGTTGTTATTAAACTACAGGTTGTAATTTTGATCATATTTTAACAGAATTATTTAATGTCACAATTCTCCTATATTATAACAGAGTTAATAAAGCACTATTGAATCATATATTTATTTATGATTAAAAATAAATATCGGTATTTTTTTAACGTATTAATATTGTTATATATACAAACAAATAGATATTACAAAATTTATTTTCAAAAGGTAGCGCGCTAGTTCTCTATAGACTTGGTAACTCTAACACAATTTACGCAGAAGAATTTTTTAAATGTATCAAAAAAATCGCTAGAAAAAGACAGAGCTTATTTTCTAACTCAATAACATTTTTCACACCGTTAAATTAAAAGAAAACTGTAATAATAGTTATTTATTTGTCAAAAGTATTCCTTTATGTTTAAAAAATACCATGAAATCGCTGCAACAGTTAATTTACTTTACAAAAAGGCATTATTAACCAATAAAAACGCTACCATACAAACACTGCTACCATACAGACAGAGCTTATTTTCTAACTCAATAACATTTTTCACACCGTTAAATTAAAAGAAAACTGTAATAAAAGTTATTTATTTGTCAAAAGTATTCCTTTATGTTTAAAAAATACCATGAAATCGCTGCAACAGTTAATTTACTTTACAAAAAGGCATTATTAACCAATAAAAACGCTACCATACAAACACTGCTGGTTGTCAGTGTTCTTAGCGTTGTCAACTTAGTGCTTTTAAAAAATGTTGACGAGAAAAAATATTGACTTGAGTGCTTTTTAATAACTTCGGTGTTACTGAATTTATCAAAGAAAAATGTATCATTCAAAGATAATTCGGATATTGTTACATCAAAAATTTCTATGGAAAATTTAAATAATATTTTACAATTTGCCGGAAGTGTTAAATATTTGTATAAAAAACTCTCTTGTCTTTTTGGTAAATTGATTAATTTTGGTCCAATAACTGTTCGAATAGTTTTGGCTTGTATTTAATTTTCTTTTACATATTTATCTTGACTTCTCTTTAATATAATTGCATTCTGCTTGAAAAAATATAGTTTCTTATAAAAATATTTATAAAAATTTACAATTTATAGATTTGGAATGGTTAGATTTGGATTCTGTATAATGTCAATTCCACGCAGTTGTATTCTGTGCACTGAAGTGATTTTCGAATAGGTAGCGATGACCACTATTAAGGAAACTTTTGGAGAGACAGACGGATATTGCTCAATGAATATCGCCATTTCCATATAAGGATCCATACTTTATAGGGTTGAAAAATTATATGGAAGAGATTGCAAATGGTGAAAGGTATAAAAATGCATATGATTTAAACACAGTTGAACTAAAGATGAATCAAAATTTTAAAGATAAACCAAATTTTAATCGATTCAAAATGACTAAATTGCTTATTGTAATATACATATATTTTTTAAAAAATAAAAATTCATGTGATTAAAACTAAGTGGACCTAAAGTTGTTGATAAAGATGAGGGGAATTTTAATCGAATGGACTAATAATAGCTAGTTTTAATTTAATTTTTGTTATTTTTATACAACATTTTCATTCAAATATTTTCTGAGTGCTTTTCTACGAAAAATACACCATTTTTCTTTGACTAGTGCTTTTTGAAATTAAAGAGTTGACAACGCTGATTGTTCTTGTCTCTTTTTTTGCGAGAAGAAAGACAAAAAGGGATTTTTTTTTTAGCCAATTGAAACGAAATTTTCTTTTTTTGTACAAAATTAGGATATATTTTTTTGTTTGTTTGATAATTATATCAATAAAAACATCAATAAAGTGCATTAAAATTATTAACTAGCCCGGCAACTATGGATAATTTAGATTTGTATGAAATACTTGGTGTAACAAAAAACTCGACAGATGCAGAAATAAAAAAGGTAAAGCGAAAGAAAAAAAAATTATTAATGAATTTTTTCCTAAGGTGAAAAAAGTAATAAAGAAAATGAGTATTTGCAGTTGGGAAATGATGAGTGCACAAGTAAAATAATAATATGTAATGTCAAAGGTGAATAATTAAAAGAAAAGAACGTTGCAAAAAAGTAAATATAAGGAATTTGTAAGTGAATAATAAATATTATGGTGTAATTAACGATCAATACCAAAAAAATAGAATTAAATTGTTAAAAATGATTCATGTGTAACAGTTTATGCAGCAAAATTTTGATTTTGTTTTTATTTTGCATGAAAAAAACTTTGTTAACTTATTAGATAAAGAGAGAAAAATATATATGCGAAGAGAGCAATGAAAATACGTTTTTTGCAAGTTGTGTGATGCCAAATGAAAATATTTATTTTTTTAATTCTGTAAATGTGAAGAAAAGTGATTATAAGAAAGGGTTTAAACTATTAATCAATTAATCGAAAAAATAAAATAATAAATAAAATTACAAACTTAAAATAACTATAATTTAACAATAATAATAAGAAATAAATTCAAATTTTGTTCATAATTCCCAAATGGTGGCAACCTTATTTATTTGACTGTTAACTTTTTAACAGTATTGTAAAAGAACGAATTCCTTTAAATCAAACAATAGGAAGAATTTTTTTTAAAGTAATTTTTATTGCATTTTTATAGAATTATCGTAAATTGGCTAAAGAATTTCATCCCGATAAAAATCCCGATGCTGGTGATAAATTCAAAGAGATTTCCTTTGCCTATGAAGTTCTCTCCGATCCGGAAAAAACGAAAAATATACGATCGTTTTGGTATAAAAGGTCTACAAGAGGGTGCCGACGGTTTTAGTGATGCCGGTGAATTCTTTTCCCATTGGTTTCCCTTCAATATGGGTCAACAGCGGGAGAGTCGTGGCGAAGCTGCCCAAATTGTTATTAAATTAGAAGTAACATTGGAGGAAATGTACAATGGCAATGTATCCAAGACAGTGGAATATAAACGGACCTCCTACTGTCAGCAGTGTAATGGCGAGGGAGGACCCAAAGAGGCACAAGAGAAGTGTACAGCCTGCAATGGTATGGGTCGCACCACGGGTTATGTATTCATGGGTCTAACACCAGTGGAAACGGTAGGATTTGAAAGTAGTTTAAACTAAATTCAAGCAAAATATTAATTCTACTTTTTTTAAAGATATGTTTGACTTGTGAGGGAAGTGGTAATATTATTCCTGAGAACCTGCGCTGTACTACGTGTCATGGCAAAGGTCTAGTCGAAGAGAATGTTAAACGTGATGTTGTCGTAGAGAAAGGAGCACCAAATACATTAAAAATTCCCTTTCCCTCTGAGGGCAATCAAGGTCTTCATGGTACTCGTAGCGATTTAATAGTGGTCCTTATACAAGCCGAACATCCATTGTTTAAACGTCGTAACAATGATCTCATTATGCGTAATATACACATCAATCTAACGCAGGCTTTATGTGGCGTGGTTCATTGTTTTAAGCACTTAGATGGCAGAAATATTTGCTTTTCCACTAAACCGGGCAAAGTGGTAAGACACGGTGAACTTCAAGTGATACCAGGCGAGGGTATGCCACTGCGTAATAATCCCTTTGACCGTGGTGATCTTTTAGTGCCATTTGTTGTGGAATTTCCCGAAAGTGGTTTTGCTACGATCGAACAACTTCAAATGCTGGAAACTTTGTTGCCACCAAGAGAACCTTTTACCATGCCAGCCGAGGCCGAGGAAGTGCAATTAAGTGAGTTTCAGCCTAGAGATGAAAACGATCGTCGAGGTGCTCAGGGTGGTCTCGATGATGACGATGATGAATATGCTGGTGGTCCACATTTCGAAAGGGTTCAATGTCAAACTGGTTAAAACTGTTCCATCAGAATATCAAAAATATATTTTTCATTATTTTTAATTTTTTATATATTGACATAAAAGATATTTGAAGATGAGAAAGAAAAAATCATTAAAATGCTTCTAGAGCTTAAAGCTTTATATGATTTTTGTTTATCCAAACTGGCTTTATTTTTAGTTTTCCCCTCTTATTTGAATCGTTTTGTTTATATTGTTGTGACAACAAATATATAATATTTAAAGCAAAAATTACACTATCTAACAACACTCTCGTAGTCTCTAGTATTTATCATTTGGGGATATTTACTTATCTTGTAACATGTAACATTGTTGTTCGATGGTTCTTAATACATTTTCGTTATATAATAATAAAACTTAAAAACAAACTTTATTCATTTATTTTCCTTAGTTTTTAGTTTAGTTACTTAAAAATCTCTACTTATATACATACTAAGATGACAACTAAAAAACAAAACACAGATAAACATTTATTTAAAATATAATTAAACAAAATTAAAAATAATAGAAGGAAAAAATAAATAACTAAAAAAAAATTTATATTATTGAAAAATAAAAGAAAAAAATAATAAAAAA